CTAAAATAAATACTGAATTCGAGATATATGAAAGAATATTTCATAATTAATATTATCATCATGTGAATATGTGAATTATTAAATCAACTATTTAAATGACGTAAATACTATGGATTACAGTTATAATGATTTTTAAACATTCCGCAACAATTTTCTAACATTTTTATTTTAGATTTTAGCTAGCTTTTTTGTAAAGTTAATATAGAATAAAATCAAGGATATAAAAAACAAATCAAGTATTATACAACATTAAAAAAACTTTATTTCATTGCTCTCATTTTATAAAATTCGATTTTTTCATTATAACAATCAAATTCCATTGTTTTATTATTGTTTCATTAAATTTTAATGAATTTCAAATTCATAACATATTTTGAATGTAAGATAGAATATTCAAATCTCAATTTATAAGCTATAAAATTGAATATGTTATATGACATATTATCCTGATATTTTTAATATAAACTCTTACATGAAAATACTAAAAAGCCTTATAGATTAGTTTTATAATTAATATAGAACATGAATTATAAAATTCTTCCATTACTTTATAATCCTGATGGATAATTATGTATGATCTGCGAATGAAGGGATCAAGCTCAACGATCTAGATAATATATACATCTCATATTTTTAACAATGATACAGTGAATATAATAAATCCATTGTAAGTTAGAATAAATTCTATAATATTATTTCTGTAAGAATAGTGAATTTTCATAAGTAAAAAGCGGGAGAAATGCAAAACTTTAAATAAATTAAAAGGCAGAGTATGAAGCCACCAATTAAAGCAACACTATCAATAGCCTGCAAAAGGATAATTTTTATCATGTGAATTTATTAATATATCAAGAATTTTGTACATAAACATACAGACTGATTCAAGAATAGAGGAATTACAGTTGTGTTAGATAATCTTTAGTATCCGGAATATTTTTATTGTATTAACTCGTACAGTAGCAATGTACAGTTTATTTATTTAATGAGTTAAGTTAAATAATTTTCGGTTAACATGGTTTATCATATTATTTTATTAATAATGATGAAACTCTAATCGCTTATTATTAAAAAGGTAAAATAATTAATTGAATAACTTTCATTATATCTCACGGAATATTAAAATCATACTTATAAAATAGGTATGAACTATTTATTAATTATGAATAATTATGAATAATTAAAATAATTATGAACTATTTAATGTGAAAGAGCATTAAATATTTAAACAGAATTAAACAGAAATAAACAGCTCTACAGATGATTGAGAAAAGTATATCTATCAAAGAACTAAAAGCAAACTTTGATATTTAAAAAATAACAAAAAAAGTTTTGTTAATATTATCAAAGCCTAATATCTAATGATAAGTATTATTATTTATTTTATATAATATTGAACGAAAATAAAGTGTAACAGTCGTATGGATGAAATTCTAATATACTTTATGAATTTAAATGTTTAATGCTATTCATTAAATAAATATTCATTATTTATGTCATTACAATCATATGGATATTCAAATTCAAATATAATATATAATAATTGATTTAGATTTTTTTTATGATCGTATATATAGTTAGCATTAGTTACTAAAGCAGAAGCGTAGATCTATTTTAAAAGAATAAAAAATTTTAAACTTTCATTTAAAAGCCTTTAGTTTAATTATTTGAATAACGAATCAACTTTTCCTTCTATTTAATAATAGTAGTTTCGTTGCAGTTACACAATAATGGAATAAGTGCTTTTTATGATTAGCCTCATTACTTGTTTTTCAAATTTACGATTATTTCATACTAAATCTAATTCTGAATATTCAATTTTAAATATGAAATCCAAATTAATTGAACGACGATTATCTTAAGTATCTTATTATCATATATACAAAATTTATGATATTCATTACTTGTAATTATTTATTGATTGAATGATATACTTACCGTCCGAAAAAATGGCATTAAGTATTTTATAATGTAAAGATTGTTTATCATTAGTAAACAAATTTTAAAGATATATTCGATCGAACTAATTAGATTCCCAAATATGTTATGTTGTATGCTTCATAATTTTTCTAAACATTTCAATGTGCGTATATAAAGAAATTTTTATTTAATTTATTAATATTGCATAATATGCATAAAATTGCAGTAATAATAGGAGTGAATAAGATACATAATTTATTGTAAAAATGTATTTTTACTCAAATTAATTTTGAATTACATCAGTATTATATTGTTGAATAAACATACAATTGCCAAAAAGAAATTATAAAATATACAAAGATTAAGAAATTGTAAAATTTATTGAAATTTTTTTAAAAAATTCAGTACAAATTGCATTTAAAAATTGATAAATTATTTTAAATTTTCAAAAAATTTTTAGTCTCTATTAAAAAAGATGATTTACTATTTTCAAGATTGTGAATCTCTTTTGAGAAGCTTATTTTTATCCTTTTTTCTAATTTTATTTCGTTAAACGTATCGAGTATTTCAATAATTTCCTCGATATATCATATAATTGTGCTCATCATATACTAAGAGAGAATGAGCAATTCTAAGGTAAAACTAATATTTTAGTATTTTTTTTTTAATACTATTTAATTTAAAATAATAAATATAATATATATTATTAATTTGTAACGAGTGACTATTTTATTCATACCTTATTCGTTCGCTCTTAGCTAAATGAACATTATTCACTTAACATAAACTTAACTTAAACTCAAATTAACATAATAATTATAAACTAATTTGATAATATTCTAATTGGATTATACATATATATATATATATATATATATATATATATGAATAAGTAAAATTAACATTTTAGATTTCAAAAAATTTATAAAAAGTTTTCGTTAAACGTAACATTGTATTAATTTTTCAATATTTGAAATATTTTACAATGATAAAAAAAGAAATATGCAGGAAAAAAATTTAATTTACGGCTCAATATAAAAACTTACGGTTCTTAATCATTGTTTATAATATATATATATATATATTTTAATAAGCATATTTTTTTTAAGAATTAAAACTGCAAAAATAAACAAGTTTTTTTAATAAGAAAGCTGCTTGACCTTTATTATAATTGGTAATTTAAAGAGATGAGAAAAAATTATAATTTTCTTAAATACATTGAATATTTTATTTGCATAATATTTAGGACTTTTGAAAATACTTTAAAATACTTTCTAAATATTCGTAATAATTACAAGATGAAATATCCTTTCAGAATCAATAAAATTTATTAATGAGATCATTTGATTATTTTATCATTTTACATATATTCTCATTTTATATTCAACTTTATTATTTTATATTGATTACATTCACACGTATTAGAATCTAAAAAAATTATTTGCAAATATTCCAGTTAAGTAACAAGCTTAAAGTAAGTCTTGTTGTGCTAAATTTCTTCATAAATAATTTTATCATTTTGTTTTTTTTTTGTTTTTGTTTTTTTTTTTTTTTGTAATAACATTAATATGTAAATTATTTTATGAATAATAAATAAATAAATATATTGTTCACAATGATACAAACAAAACAATGAATGTTGTTTATTTCTATTCTACTTGAATTTATATTGATGAAGATTTATTTGTGTAGGCTATGTTGGAAAATACTGTTAAAACAATCAATTTCAATTTTCAGCTAAATCCATACAAGACTTTTATTATTATTATTTGATCTTGTATAATGTCACAAATTTTATGTAATGAAAATATTTAGTTATGTGGTCTTATTATATGAGGACGAATCGAAGATGATAATATACAAGCTTTGATAATTCGATTGAAAAGAGCATCCGTTGGAGAAACAGAAGCTCCATTTCCATTCTAATGAAACTATCCAACTTTATTGATTTGTCGTAGATCTTTTCATTTATGCATTATTAATAATTGGAGCTCATTTTACATTAATATTACGTTGAATTTTGTAATGTAAGAAGATGATTCCTTAATGAATAAATGGACTTCTTTAAATCATTTCATGTGAAGTGAAAATATATTTGATATTAGAATTTAGGTAATAAAGATAAATAGTTTTGCATGAAAATTTGTTGACAATTTAAAGGAATTTCTTTAAAAAAAAATTGTAGTTTCTACACAATCTGAAGAATGTCTTGTAAATCAGATACCATTAAAAAATATAATCATTTAATGTATAAAATTACTTATAAACGGCGAATAATAAATGTTTATGGTTGTTGTGAGGTTTTACAATGGAAGAAAAATAAGTATTGTCTGGGTCTTTGAATCGAAATAATTTTTTAATCTCCGAGAATAATACTAAGGTATATAATTTTGTAAAATTTATAATTTAAAGACCCAATGAAATTAATTTAATCTTAAAAACTTTTAATTGATAGCGCACAATAAATAATAAACAATTATGTAAGATTTCATCTTCTGGTATGTATGTTTGTAAAAAGTCATTTATAAATTAGGATAAATATTATTCTTTCTAAAATAGTACTTCATATTTAAATAAATTTTAATTTTCCAATATACACTCTTACTAGAATTCCGTACGTAAAAGCAACGTTGTTGTAAAATCCGTTCACATAAATATATTTAATAATATGCTGTTTAAAGGATAATCAACTGCTAATTAAATAACAACAATATAATAAATAACATTAATATAAATGATATCAATATCAATACCTTGGAGTAGCGTCTTGCTTTAACGTAACAAAACTTACAAATAAGTTTAAGAAACTTGTTCGAGCTTCCGTATGAATTCAGATGCATATTTTTTTCACATATTATTAAGCTATTAAGATTACAGCATCGCCGATGCTTCATCTCTTTCATCCTCACGCATACGCAACGCATTATAGCCTTTGCCACATCCATTTACACATCCATTTAAAAAGGCCATTAATGTTTACGCCGTTAGTTTTTTCCATTTTATTTCGTCTATAAAAGCAACAGAGAAACTCCCTCGACATAATATTACATTGAGTAAGCCCAGTAAATTTTGCTTGTTTGCAGGCGTCGAGGCCCTTCGAATGACAGCACTGAAGATTCCTCAGCACGTCGTATTGAATCAAACGGTCCGGATGGAGTGCAATTTCAACCTGGACCGAGAGAGCCTTTACTCGGTGAAGTGGTACAAGGACGGTCACGAATTTTATCGCTACGTGCCCAAGGAACAACCCGACGTTCACGTATTTGCGCTCGCAGGCGTCTCAGTCGACGTATGTATTCTCCGAGATCTATCTTTCATTATGGTTTCTAGCACAAGTCCTTTCTCGCCAAACTGCCCGTATGCTTTTCTTCGTGATGCTAGAGGGGAGAAAAAAAAGCATAAGAAAAAAGCTATTCGATTAACGCGACATACTTCGCGCTATTTCTTTTATAATTCGTGTACAGAGCTTTTTTTACACGAGCGTTGTGAAGCATTAAATGGATAAAATCTTAACGTTGATGAAGAAACTTTTTCACCTCAAGTAAAAGCCTAAAGTACGATCGTTTTATATTCGAATTTCAAATGTTAATGAATACTAAAAGTGAATTTTGACGTTATTAATAGATACTTATTTTGCATTGAGCGCCATTTCACGATAAACATAATTTTACGCTAGAAAATTAAAAAATACGAAAACAAATTTCACTTTACTACTAAATAGAATTTATTTTAAAGTGCAAACATCATAACATACTGGATTATAATAGCTCAACTTTCAATTTGCATGCATTTGTTTGCATTGTCATCATCCCGGCATCATGAAAATCACTTGTCCATATTATAGCAAATAAGAACTACATTCCAATAGTCTAATTATCAACCTTTTTTTTGAACAATTTTCAAAAATTTATAAATAAATATGCTGATAATAACGCGCCCTTGAAATCGATAATAACATCGTAGGACAACTGGATTAAATTATTTCATAATTTTATACAAAAATTACATAAGACTTTATAAAAATGTTTTAAAATTGTCGAATGTAATATTATTATGCAAAATAATGATGCAACTAATTTAATAATTTATCGTTCTATATTTACTTGAAAAATCGTACAAATCGTTTAGCCATTAAATGTGTTGCCAAAACTTGATGGAATATAGTTAAATAAAATCCTACATAATTAATTGAGACAACTAGTTTGTCAAATATATGTTTAAAAATTATATAAATATTTGAATTATTTGAATCTTTTATAATTCAAACATAACCAATAATTAAATAACGCAAATTTCATGGTAATTTTACGTTAAAAAAAAAAAAAAAAAAAAAAAAAAAAAAAAAAAAAAAAAACCCTAAAATTACTACAAAGTTTTTATAATTATTTAATAATATTAATATCTCATGCCATTATATTCTGAAATAGTTATCAAGCATTTTAATCGCGTAGAATAGAGTAATTTTTATTTAATACTTTATTTAATAATATACGGATGTACGGATGTCACCGCAAACCGTCATCAATAAGTTATCTTCCGCGTATAAAAAACTTATTTAAAAATCCATTCGTGACTAATAGACTCGTAATTATTTCACTTTACAATATGAAACTTTTAATTGTCGTATTATTGATAGAGTAAAAAAAATTTTAAAAGTTCATTAAAATATGTACGCATCTCACCATGAATAGCGAACGGCAGAGAAACAATTGTTGTGCGATGATATCAATTGTCCTTTACATCTATTAGCCAACGAGCAATCGAAAATTCAAAGTGACTCGGTACTAGTTTAAAAATGACTTAAAAATCTTATGAAATTAATCGAAAGATAAATCGTTGCTTGATGCATTCTGAATGGAACAACTGAAAGAAATTATCGAGACTTTGACGATGATAATAGAGAAGAGGTCCGTGATTTGCCATTGTTGAGGCTATTAAACATATCCCTTACTCATCTTACAGAAGTTACATCAATCCTATAAATTATAAAGCATTACATAATTGAGCTTTCCAGCAGATTTCGGAAAAATGATTCCAGCCGAGGGCGGACGAAAGGCAATATTTGAACGTAGATTATAGAATTATGACGTCATTGAATGGATAAAATAGTTTGGATTGATAACTTATCTACCGTGCTTAAGAGGACTGGTAATGACGTCAAAATTTATTGAAAAGAAGATTTAAGAAATGCAGGAACGAGCGGTAGTAGTACGATTCTACTCGATGCTCCATCAGCGATAGTTTGACGAGCAGAATATTGCTTTAAAGACTAATTCATCGTTATAACTTTTATTATAAATGATGAAGTACTTTGGCGCATTGCTACTACATCGACTATTGCTACTCGCTTCTTCGCACGAGCACCCCGGAGTGGGTAAAAGTTAAAGAAACATTGCACTATCTGGCCACACTATTTCAACGAACTGCTCGCGTCAGCTTTCCCAAATTCTGCAAGAGTTGCGACTCAAGTGTACTGCCAAAGACAACATCCGCGATGACGGCCATATCCACGAAGGAAGAATAAACGAAATGAAAGAAGGAGCATTGGCCGGACGAGGATTACAGCTCAAACTTATCACGCACTAACACGAATTCGGCCGAAATCTATGGCAAATCCTCGACTCCTCATGCGCGGAATTTCATTCCTTTTTTCTGATTAGGTGAGCTTCCTCTGGCGCCTCGGTGCCCAATGACGTCGTCAGCAGCCGAACAATAAATAATTCCACGCTTGTTAAAATCTATATTAGGCACAAAGATAATAATAATAAACTTGCTATGCCATTATGCATAAATATGAAATAGAATGAAATAGAAGAAAATGGAACGGGCAATTGTTTGGAATCGAGATGTTTTTGTATATCTACTATGTTTCGATTGTAAAAGTTTTATTAAAGAGTAAAAGGTTGACGAAATTTTGTAATATTTAGCGAAAATGTGCTATTTATACTCTTATTAAAAGTTAAATTTCTCACTTAACAGTGGACGTTTAAAAATATTAAAAAGCGTACATTAGTATTATATTATTTATTGTGCTGGATTAAAAATATTTCCCTTTATTATTAATTAAACTATATAATGTTAAAATATATATAATTAACAAAGAGATTGCTCGATGGTAGAAAGAAATTGTTTGCCCGTAGTGACACTAATTCTATTAAAATATATATAATAAAATAATTTCCCATTAAACTAACATATTTATTGAAGTATGTAATCCGAAATTTTACTCAAAATGCTGATAATCCATGTTATTTAAAATAAAATAAAATAAAATAAATAAGCAATCGTACCATTTCCTATCCCTTTATAAGTGGCCTTTGAGAAATTGCCACAACTAGGCCAACTTTGAGTATTGCAGAACACAGTGCCAAACGTAATATTTGCTATAAACTCCCTTCTTAAGTAGCACCATTTCGCAATACTGCGTTCAACTACTTTCAGTCGAAAGTTAATTTTCTTTTCCTTAAGAATGTGGAAGTGGGTAAAGAATTGAGACTAATTCAATTAATTCTCTCAATAAAATTTAACGCTTCTTCTTTTTTTTAATTGTAGTACCTTGTTTGCTAGCCTCTTACGGCATTAAGTTTACATAGTCTCTTGTACCTATAACATTATTCCTAAAATATATTTAAGTAAAATTATTCTCGAATTTAATTCACTGCTCTCGCTATTAATATACTCTAATGTCATAAGATATTCGTAAAATTTTACTTGCGATGCAATTTCAATACATAAATATGAAATTAACTAATTATTATTGATATCTCTTATTTATCATGTTTACTATATGTGAAGTGTGCTTTTACATTAGCCAATATATAATCTTGAATATTTGACAAAAATTTGTACGAAAATATGGATTGCGTAAGAAAATTTGCTCAAAGTCAATATCACATGGAATGGTATTCTTCTCTTTATCGTGCATCTTTACGAAGCCTTCTTTATCTTATTCTCTTAATCTTGCACTTGCATACTTAAGCTCTTTTACGTCGAGTACTAGCTTTGATTCAGCCCAACTTTATTTATACAAGAAAGCAGTGGCACACGGCGCCAACGAATCTCAAACAACATCTCGAGGCCCTTGTGATGAGTAAGAGAGATGAACTAAACGATAGAATAGAAATGAATAAATGCACATTTGCACACACAACTAACACGCGCGCGCGCACACACGCACACACACACATATATGTATATATATATGTATATATATATATATATATATATATATATATATAAATATACATATGTACATGTGTGTATGTATATGAGAACTGCTCACTTTAGAATGGTCGTTATATGAATCCACATTAAAAGATGTATACTTTACTAACATTTTCTTTAAGTCATTTATTTATTCGTCCCTCATAACGTGTGATTGCACAATTTCGTGGACAATATAAACCACGTAGACCCACTTTCATCACAAATTCACATATGAAAAAACTTGTGCCAATAATAAAGTAAACGAAAATGCAGGTAAGCGTTAAGAGAGAAGGGGATGATTGTGTGTGTGCGCGCGCGCGAAAGAGAGTGAGAGTGAGAGTGAGAGTGAGAGAGAGAGAGAGAGAGAGAGAGAGAGAGAGAGAGAACAGAAAAAAGAATTAGAAATACAAGTGGAGATGGAAGGAGAGAAAATCAAACGGAAAATCCATCTACATTTATGTCTCTGAAAAGCAAGGCAAATAATGTTTTATTTGCTTTTTCAAGGAGGCACACTGATTGTCATGCGTGGGATAATGGAACTTGCATTTGTCAGTAACGGAGCTTTGCTACATTACATGTTCTCTTTGATTATTCGATTTTCTGCTTTCATCTTCATGGAAATAGGTGGTATTTTGTACAATAAAAGTTTACTTCGGTTGAGCTTCGAAACTTCCTTATTGCACTATGATTATTGTAGAGAGCAATTATTACAAATATTTTCCAAATGTAACGATAACGTTCGATACTTAACTAAAGAAAACTTTTCGTTATAGCGTTAGACTTTTAATAAAGCACTATCAATAAGTATTGCAAAATGTTATAAACTTTTTAATTTATATAAGAATGAGTTTGATTTTCAGAAATATTATTAAACTGATGGCATTCAATAAAATCTTATATTGAAATTTCTTTAATAAAATGAATCGTATTAAATTCAATCGTAATATGTTTTCATCCTAATTGAGCATATGCACTGATATAATTACTTATTATATATTATATTATATACAAATATGAAAAATATAATAAACATATGAAATAGTGAAATTCTATTAACATGCGCAATGCGTAACTGTTCACACA